GAGGTAGAAGCCGTGGCTGCGGGCTGGATGCTGGATTTCGCCTGCTACTGCCTGTGCCGGCACTTCGTAGAGGAGTGCGCAGCGGAGTTCCGGCGGTGGAGAGGCGTGGCGCAGGGTGAGGGCTGGCGGCAGTTGTCGGGGCTCTGAGGGTGCGGGCACTCGGGGCTCTCAAGCGGCTGCGGTTACTGTGAGGCAGAGTCTGTCCCTGCAAAGTGTGAGGGGCAGCTTTCTTGTGCAGGCTAAAGCACTAACAGTGCTTGTGCACTTATTTCTTGTGTGTGTGCGTGTAGCCTTCTCATGACTGTGGTCGCTGACGTTGAGGAGGTTTTCAGCTCTTTCGAGGTCCTCAGAAGATTCCTGGAGTACAGGGTAGTCTGTTCAGATAATTTAATGGTATCAGCAACACTTGCACATGGTGGAAGTAAAACAGCGCAGGCTGAATTTTTGTTTGCTTGTTTAATCCACTGGTGTTTGAGTTTAGCATGCAAACTCTGCTGGAGTATTGTAAGATAATCACAGTTTGGGGGAATTCTGATGTTTTGGCTGAATGAGACCAGGGAGGAAAGCAAACTGAACTGCTTCAAGAAAAAAGAGGTTGCTGAGAGGCTGGGGTGAGGGCTTTTAGATTATTAGGTGAATACAAGCGTTGGTGTTCATAAAATCAACATGATATAATCAAGCTTGAATGTGTAACATGATTGTCTAAATACCATCAGGGGTTACTGAAGCTGAGGCCTCAGATGCTGAGAGTTCAAGGCTACTGAAAAGTTGAAGAGGATTTAGTGGAGAAATACAAATGTGGTAAAAACTAGAGTAGAATTACTTAAATACACAGAGTTCCTTGGGTTTATATTCAGGGTTATGGTAGAAGACTAGAAGTAATTCAAGGAACTATAGTCTTGCAAAGCTGGAATGAAGCCTGATGACTGGATTTTGAATAGAAAACACATGTATTTAAAATGAGAAATAATTAAGAATTAGAGTAGTTGACAGCTGGAAGCAAATGTCTAAGTCTGTGATAAATTTGATGGATTTATGATGGTTTTTCTAGTAGAAATAACTTTCCTGAAAATACCAGGTTAGAGCTTTTGGGGTTGTTTTTGTGTGTGTGTTCCTGACTTAAGTAAAGGTGATAGTATGACTTGTTTAAACTTCTACAAAGAATAGAGTACAATGGCATGCAGAATGATTAGTGAGGAGATTGATATGAGAAATTTTAAGGGGTAGGAAATCTAAAGATAACATAATAAAGTATATTGAATAGGGGGCTGCTAGATTAAATTATTAATGGTGCTTCTCTGTGTTTGGCCTTGGGAGAATCAAACTCAGTGGAGACTCGTACTGAAATTTCATGAAGATGTAGGTGGGAAGCAGAAACGTTGTTGACACAAGCAGATTTGAATATCTCCTAAGAAGAACAGGAAGACTTTTAACCTTTAATGCAGGCTCATATGGAACTGGGAACTAATAGCAAATCTGGAATTTGTTCCCGGCCTGTTCAGCAACAAAGGAAAGAGAGGGGCTTATTGGTGCTATAAGATTAAAGTCAGAAGTGTGAAAGTCCATGGAAAAAGCTGTGCACAGTCATAAGATTGCATTAGAGAAGTGGGTGTGGATTTTTTCACAGAAATACAGAACTATTACTCTTGCATATGTCAAAGTGAGACCTTACTGAAATAATGATTGGCTGTCAACAAGAAGGTCAATTAATACTGAAGTGCAAAAAGGTAGGAAGGCTAAGGGAACAAGATGAGGTATTTTTATTAGAGGATAAATAATATTTCTGTATAGTTCAGTACACTGCCAAATAGAAGTAGCTAGGTTACCTTGGATTAAGGATTTAAAGACAGACATGCCTTGACAGGATATTATGGTCTACATACCTGAACTAGCTTGGAATAGGTATCTAGATGGCGAGGACCTGGAATTCAGGAATTTCTAATGAAAGGGTAAGATGAGAAATATATTTGAGTGGCCATAGGGAGGAAAGCAATTTATGATTGAGGGCACTATTAACAAACGAATTAATAGAGAAACTGCCTAGGGAGAACAGTCTAGAAAAGATTACTGAAACTATGTCTCTTTCTGTTCTACTTGTGAGTAATTGCTGCTAAGGACCTGGTGTCCACACAGTAAATGTTTCAAGGTTTCTTTTTCTTTGGAATAGCTCTAAAGGAATTCAACTTTTGCACTCAAGACTGCTCTGTTGTACAAACCAAGCACAGGAAGTTCACTTTAAAAATGTACCCCTGCTCTAAATTAAAGCACTAACAGTGCACCTTTAGAACAGAGAAAGCTGAAAGATCTCAAGCTACTTGCCAAGATGACCCCTTTTGTTTGTGGATTGCTCAGCTACAGTATTCTGCCTTTATCTTCAGGGCATGATGATGGTGCTTATATCTATCATTGAACTCATCCAAACTCTTTCTGAATTTGAACTCTGCTGTGGAAGATGCATAAATTTGTGATTATAATGAGTGGCACTTTACTGCTGTTCTAAGGAATGTTTTGTTGGTGGTTTTTTTTTTACTTCGTATTTTGGCTATAGGAATTAAAAGCTCTTGTGTCACCTGTCCTCACTGAAGCAGTTGTAAAGGTGTTCTTCCAAGCCCAAATGACAATATCCTGCTTGATGTTAGCTTAGGTAATCATTTGAGGCTATTTAATTACTTTGTAATTTTATGCTTATCCATTGTTCATAGGAGACGATCATACACTAATAAGCAGGTAGGCTGAGTAGTTCCAAGTAAAACAATGTCTTATGTGCTCTAGTTGTGTCATTGTAAAACCTGGGGGTCCTATGCTCTGGAATCCTGGCTTTTGTTATGCTGACATGGAAATGTATACATAAACACTTCCTGAACTAGGGTGTTCAGGCAAGTCACTTAATGCATTCTTCACTTTTCATTTTGAATGTTTGTGTATTACACTGTGGAGATGAATTACTATATCCAGCACATTAAAATATGAAGTTCATGGTAACCAGCATGATGGAAATAATCTCATGATAGCTCCCATTCTAAAATACATAATTCTTGTGACCTTCCAACCTTGTGAGGAGGATTTCCCCTGTAGATTTACAGGTCTGACCAAGCTCTCCACATAGCTTTGACTGCTTTTGGTCTGTTGGTTGCTATAGCAACATGTAAGTGTTACCACGTGTTTTGTGGGCATTCCACAGAAATGGTCTTTGGAGCAGACAGTTGTCTTTCATAGTAAGTTACTGAGCAAAACAAAATGTTGTTTATTTATGTAAGATAATGCGGTCTTCTAACTTGATGAATGTAAGCTTGTGATGCATGTTACAATATCTAAGTTACTGTTGTGAGCTGTGAGAGAGAGGTTTTTCTGGTCAAATTCTTAAGTATGACTTAAGTTCTCCTAACATGGAAGAGTAGTAACTAAATGCACTTCATCGGTTTCCTCATGAATTAGAAATTTAGTAGATTATGTAAGTCTGAAAACAGTGTCTAGTATATTTCTAGCCACACTGTGGCAGTGCTGGAGCAAGACTGACTTAACTTTTCTCTTCTTTTCCAGCTCTTATTAATGGCCTTTCCAAAATACCTACACATCAGAAAAAAACTGTGTATCTCTGTCAACTTTTGATAAGAATTGCAAATGGAAAAAAACTTGGTAAATACTGTGATTCTTTTTTTTTTTACTTGTTATTTAAATAGATTTGTGTGAACTTGCAAAGCCATGCTTTCACTTAGCCTTTACTGTACGTGTGTGTGTGTATATATATTAAAAAAACTAAAAAATGACTGAACTCTGTTTTGGACTGTCTGTATTCCACATGTGACTGAGCTGTATGCTGGACCAGTGTTATTTGCTACCATGTCTCCTATTTGGCTGTATTCACAACTTGCTGTTTTAGCCAAGCTGATTTTTGCTTCCACACTCAAGTTGCTGGAAGACTTAACCTTTTTGCTGCAAGTTTTCACCACTTGATAAAACTCACTGGAATTTAAGGACTTGAAAAGCAGTCTTGCCAGCATGAGCATGGAAGGAAAAAGTATATTCTAGCCTAGCAGTGTCACAAAGGCTTGTTTTTATAAAATAAAATTTCTTATATTGCTTGTCAAGTAACAACACTCTTGATTTAGTTCAACTTGAGAATAAAATTCTAATATTTAAAAGAGTTCCTAATATCCAAATTATGAAACTTTTATGATAATGCTTCAAAACTATATTGTATACAACACTTGGGGAATATGAATTCAATTTGCATCTCTATCACTGTAGAGAATGAGCTGCGTGGTGAGGAAGATTGCATGTGCTTAGTAGGTATTACATCAGTTGTAGTTGCACAATGTACATGGAAAGCTAATGTATGGTAGCTTTCCTGATTCTTTTCCAATTATTAAAATCTATACTGCTCCTTAAAACAGAGTAGGCTGTTTCAGATGCCAGCTCCGAGTTCAACACTTTGTTTTTACAACATTAAAATAAACTTTGTATGAAGTGTCATATTACTTGACTAAAACAATAGAGAAATGCAGAAATGTTATTTTAATGTGTATATATACATATAATGCTATCTAAACTTTCAGTGTTTGTCTTTTACTGTATTTTTCCTGAAAAGTATTTTTAATTTTTTCAGTATTGCTTACATTGTTTACCTTCTGCCTGAAAAATATTCACTGTAGGGAATAAGAAGAAATTGAGAGATTCTGCTAATGATGTCATATAAAATGAAGGAATAAGTGAGGCTGTAGTTCAGTGAACATCTTGAGCTAAGCTGGCAGTGCATGGGAGGAAAAAAAGCAATCTTGTCCACCTGCCAGCTCCTACTACATCTGTTATGTTGGCACACTTACTTGTGCAGCTGTGCAGTGATCAGACTGGGCAACTCCTTATAGAGTGTGGAAGGGATGGTTATTTGGCTGGGCTAGATTTCTGCAAGAACTGATCCTGCTTGCTGTGAGCTTGCACAAACCTTGGTGTTGGCACAGCGGCACAATGATGTGGGAGGTTGCTTCTGCTTTTTCAGTAACGCTCCTGTGTTAAGCTGTTTGAATTTCCCTCTCAGTTTAACCCCTTCAAATATAACACATTTAAGACACGGCAATATAGAGATAGGGGGGGAAAAAACTTAGGATAGTGCTTATATTACAAAATTAACAGTATCAGTATCAAATGTTTTGATATCTGATGCCAAGCTTAATGTAAGAGTATTATTAATGCCAGCCCAAATACACGATGCTAAACTTAGCACTATTGCAAGTGGCATTTTAAGTGAACAATAATTAGCAGACACATAATCTCCCTTAAAAATGCAACAGTAATGTTATTAGCAAGGGTAGGAAGAACCAGTCTCTCTGAAAAGGCGGCAGTTACTTCAGGTCTATTAAACACATCTGAAGAGAGAGACTAAAAATTATTTGAGGAAAAAGGAATTGAAATTATGTATAGTACATTATTATGTATAAATAATGTAGTATATTTAGCTTTGTCCTTTAAGTTTTTTAAATACCTTTTTTCTTTTTTTTTCTTCACCCCCGAAGAATGCCATTTTGAAAATGATCAAAGAATTTCACCTTTGGAATCTGCTTTGTCTTTCTGGACTTTACTTGAAAGGGAGGAAATTAAGCTGGAAAAGCGTCATGAAGATATTCGTTGCTTGATTCAAATTCAGGTCTGTGTGACTTAATCAAAATTCTTCAGGATGCTACCTATTCCTTTTGCTAAAACAGGGCTCCTTTTACAAAATGCTTGGGCTATTAGCAGGCTGAACTGAATTTTCTAAATTTGTTGTATTTTCAAGTACAGAGTAAACAGATCTGTACAGGGACCTTTTCCTGTCTAAACTGGTTCCTATTTGTCTTGGTTCAAAATTGTTTCAAAAGCTGCCAATCTGAATAAATGAGTTATCAATTGAGAGATTAATTTCAAAACACTAATATCTTGAGCTTTAAAATATCTAATGAATAGCTTTTTTTTTTTTGCTTAAAAATAACTTTTTGTATTGGAAAACTTGTGATTTCAAAGAGAAACATGTAAAAACACGTTGACAGCTACTGGGACTGTGAGAGTCTTTCAGGGAAGGATGAAAGCAATACTTAATAGGTCATTATAGGACACTTTGCATCAATGAGGGTCCTTTTAAATGCCTGATGGGGAGGTTTTAGGCCTTTATACATGAGGTTTAATATTACTTCAGAACTAACTGTTATAACTAGATAATTGTTGGTAACCCTTAAATATATAATCCTCTGGCCTTTGGAAGTCTTACAAAACTGTGAAAGTGTGACTTCTCTTGGGTTTTTTTCACAACTGTCAGATGAAACGTATTTTAGCATATCTTATAATTTGTTGTAGACTGTAGCAGTCCATATGGAAAATGGATATTTCAAGGAGGCTGCTGAAGTTCTTGAAAGGCTGTTTACAGACTCGGAATCAGATAAGGTAGTAACTTGCTAAACTTGCATTAAGCTCTCTCATTTTCAGTGGAGAAGAGGGGAATGGGTTTCCAAAGCTACCAAATGCTACCTGCATAGCTTTGTCCTAATTACTGCCTATGCAGTCACTTGCTAACCTGTGGCACGCCTAAATACAAAAAGAAATCTGTGGCTAGGGGATTGATAGAAATCATGGGCAATTCAGGGAGTAAAATGCTTCTAGCTGCAGTTGTTCTTCACTGTGGGCAGCATCAGTCTAAACTTCATTCCCTTTCACACCTCGTATGAGTGAGGTGTTACTACAGATTCTGGGAATTTGATATTGCTGTTTTCTCAGAGTAAAGACAGTATAAACATTCTGGTAGAGACATAGTAACTCCCTAATCAGTTTGCCAACTCTTTCTGAACCATTGCAGTGCACTCTATTTGTTGTCTCTGATTAGTCTTCTACAGACTGAAGCATCACAGGGAAGGAAAGCTCATTAGCATCTGTAGTACAGAGTGGATATTATTATGGCTGTATTTGGAAAAGAGAATATATGTGGGTTGGGCCACCGCCTGGTTTGATTTTGACTGCATCATTCAGAAAGATGCAAGTTTGAGTGTGTATCTCTTTAAAATAATAGCTAGTGCATGCACATGAATTAGCCGGGGTGGAGAAAAGAGCAAAAGAGGGACTATAGACAAAAAGGAAAAAAGACAAAAATGCTGCCTATATCTTCCTCTGGTGTATATTATACACATGCATACACTCTTCATTCAGATGTTCAGAAAGTGTAGGTTGTAGTAATAGTATTCAAATTCATAAATAAGAATGCAGCCTGTACACAGAAATTAATTCTTGGCTATATTGGTCTGTAAGATTCAGAGTGGTTGGTAGACAAAATGTGAAGTTGTGATTATCAGTATTGATGTGTCCTTAATGCTACTGTACTAAATAGTGTTTTTCCTGAATGCTGTAACCCCCTTTCAATGGCAGTCTCTTTGAGGCAGCAAATGAGAAAAGAGAACCCAGTAATGAGTGGCCTTTTCTGGGTGTTTTTGCTTCATTGACAATCCTGCTTTCAGTGTTATTCCAAAAGGAATGAAAATTAGGATCTCTGGAAAGTTACACTTACAGTTTCCTGAACACTGGAAAGTTACACTTACAGTTTCCTGAACACAGGAAGTAAACTCCTGATACTATGCCTAGTTAACTTTAGAACCCTTTCAAACTGTAGCATGAAGTTGTATAAGCCTATTCAAAAAAACTATATAATCACCTTGTTTAGCTTTGTGCTGTTTAGCATAGGTGCCAAGTTTACTGCAGGATATATTTTTGTGTTTGTATAAAGTTGTATTTTTCTTAGCCTTTAAGGATGAAGTTGGCAACCATAATTAAAACCAAGGATCCATATGTTCCCCTTCTCGAAAACTTCAATTACAATCTTTTGATAAGTAAAATCAAGTCTTATGTTGAACTTTTCATGAAAGAAAATGAAACTAACTTCTTAATACAGGTATGTCAAAACTATTTTCAAAACTTATTTCAAAACAGGTACCTGAAAGTATAAATCTATCTAATCTTATCAAGGGAGTTGTTCAGACAATGTTCAGTTATTGCATTAGATGGAAAGGAAGTTTTATCTTCCTTTGAATTGTTGTCTTAATTAAAAAAAAAAGTTGAATATATGTTTAGAAGAAAGTTAGTAGGAGTAAGACTCCTCTAAAATATCTTTTGAATGTTTTTTCACAACGGTTTTAATTAGAAAAGTAGTTAATAAAAAAGCATCCTTAAAATGTAGTCTGTCATTAGTGTATGTTTAAGAGAAGTGGTTCTGAGACTCCTTAAAAGATAATGTAACTATATATTTATGACTTCTCATACTAAGACTTAAACAAAATAAACATTAAACTAAAAGATCAAGACCTGTTAATTTGGCTAAAAGCTTTAGGAATGTCAGAGGAGTTAGGAGATAGAAGACTGTTATTGCTGTTTTCCTGTAAATAAAAAAGCTCCTTGCAAACAGTCTTGCTCAAAAGTGATTTAAATTGGCAAGAACAACATTCCTCCTGCAGTTCATCTTCAGGAGGATTGTAAAGAATTTCTCTTATGTTTACTTCCTCTAAAAGAATATTGAATTACTCAACTACAAAACCACAAATATCTAAAGGTAATAAGAAGCAAATTTTAAACAAACAAACCTGAAGGTTCTCTGGGATTTTTGTTTTCTTACTAGAAAGAGACCAGAGAACTTATTAAATGTATACAAAGTATAATGCAAGGAATACCTTTTAATGGTATCACTCAGCTGTCAGTTTTCAAATTTACTTTTCAAGGCTATTTGAGTCTAAGAGGAAATGGAGGTTGGGAGGTGCTGGAGAAGGCCAGGAACACCATATTAGCATAGCTAGGCACTCTATGTTGCACCCCCGCTGCCTGTGCAAAAAAAATACCCTAGCTTTAACTGTTAATCTCTCTCCTCTTTCTTCTGGTGCCATATGTAAAAGTAAAGGTGGTCTACGTTGGTAGACTGTTTTATAGGCTGCTTTTTCTAGGTTATTGTCAAGCTTGGAACCTACAAGATTGCAGCTCCTACTGTTGAAGTTCTTGCACTTCAAGAAACTTTAATGGGTTAGCTGCCCTTAGAACAGTCCACAGATAATGCATTACAAGGAAAAAGGACGTATACCAAGAAAGCATTGAGCTGATAGTTCTTAATTTTTCTTTATAACTTCTCTTTCAAAATAATTGTTTTAAGGGACAACTACATTTTGAAAGCTACTGTTAACTTTTAAAAACACAATATAGTGGATTTAGGTTTTTTTTTTTTTACTAAATCCTTTATACCTATGTATCTGTATGGAAACATATACTCACTTTCTCCTGTGTTTTGTTACCATCAGCCACTGTAAAAGAGCCAATATTTTGAAAACCTACAGCTGAAAGATGTGGTAGATTGAGTAGCTATGACATTTCTGACAGTGAATATTTTCTTCTGTGATTGGAAGTATTCTGTGACCAGAATACCTTCCAGTATTTTCATGGATGAATGAGTGAAATAGAGAATGTTTTTATATTATCTGACTCTTATAAATATTGAGAGATTCTGCAGGCTACTGTGGAGGACAGGTTAAGATTTCAAGAAGACTGAAAATTGGATGGATGACAGAAAATTAACAGGAGGCAAAAGCAAGCCCTGAAGGAATCATAGAATGTTTTGGGTTGGAAGGGACCTTAAAGATCATCTAGTTCCAACCCCCCTGCCATGGGCAGGGACACCCTCCACTAGACCAGGTTGTCCAAAGCCTCATTGCGTGTGACATTGAACACTTCCAGGGAGGGGACCTCCACAACCTCTCTGGGCAACCTGTTCCAGTGCCTCACCAGCCTCACAGGGAAGAATTTCTTCCTAATATCTAATCTAAATCTACCCTCCTTCAGCTGAAGCCCATTCCCCCTTGTCCTGTCACTACACTCCCTGATAAAGAGTCTCTCCCTATCTTTCCTGTAGGCCCCCTTTAGGTACTAGAAAGCTGCAATGAGGTCTCCCAAACCTAAGAAGAAATAGATGAAAAGTGGAAGCAACTGGCTAAGCATAAAAATAATTCATATTGGGCCTGTAGTGAATTTGTCAACTTTGAATCATTTTGATATTTGAGTGTTGCAAACCAGATCATTTTTTGGGATGTATAGACAGTGTTGGATGGAAGATGGTTGGCTCTGCTTAGTAATGATGGTGCACAACCAGAATTATTTTATGGTTTGGCCAGTAAGTATACCTTAAGATGCTAGGAAAGAAAGCTGATAGCAAAGTGGCAAGAATGACTTCATGTAGACTGTGTTTTGGTTTTTTGAAGGTGTTATTTATTATAGCAAGTAGGTAGGAGGAATCTCAGGAAAAGTACAAATCTTATGATCCTCTACACACTCTATAAAGAGTAAGGAACTATTCCTTCCTCCTTTTGGTAATGAAGGAGACATAACCTTAGTTTGTGGCTAAAAGTTTAGGCAGGATGTTACAAAATTCTTTTGCTAATACAGGAAAGATTAGATCGCAAACCTAAAATCTGATTAGACGTATGTCTTTTGAAAGTGTTATAGGTATTCTTGATCCTGCCATATGCTACAGAGCTAGATGAACTTGTGAGGCCTATCAGTTTTCAATTTCTAATCTAGTTATAAAAAACAGACTTTGGACTACTTTGATAGTATTTGCAGTCTTGATGGATTTCAAAAACACACTACAGTTGTTTTGAAACTACTTAACGGTGGTACCTCTGAGGGGTCTGTGAAATAAGCCCTGTTAGTCCTAATAGTATATGCGTTAATCTTAGTGTAAACTACTATCTAGGTACTGGCTGACTTTAATTTTAAAGTATCAACTCTTTCTCACAGGCAGCCATAAAACAGGTGGAGTCTAAAGGATTGGGAGCAACAGCATTGCAAAACGAAGCTGTGAATGTTGACAAAAATGATGAAAGTAACTTGGAAACAAAACAAAGGTTTGTATTCAGCATTGTGCTGTCCAAGCATGTCCCTCAGTAGTAACTTGAAACTTGCAGAACTAAGAGTAGGTAGAAGGAAGGATGTTAAATTCTTAACTGCTATCCAATAGAAAATTAACTACAAGCACATACTCTATTTCTAAGTTTTGGCTTTCCTATGATTGTTTCTTTTGGCATTTACATCAAATAGCTTGTTATTAAGTTTAAGTATTTGTTGAAGATGCACATTTTTCAGTTGAAACAGCTGTCAGTCTTGTACAACAATAAAAACATAGAAATACTTCACCACTTTTTTCTTTATGTTTGTTTGAGCTCTGTTTAGTCCTGCCCTCTTAATTTTAGGCTGTAGGTCATCTGGAGAAGAAAGAGGATAAGAAAAGGGAATTAGTCTATTACTTTTTCCTTACAGCTAAACACAAGCTTCCCTTACATAGTGATACTAGAGTCATGGAAAATAGTTATGTTGCTTCATGACTCTTGCAATGTGAACCCTCAAAACAATTAGACACTCTTCCAAGAAATGCTGGCAGAACTTGAAGCCCAGTTCCTTTCCCCCTCCTTTGACTTCATTTTGGAAAATACTAATACTCTAGGTTTATCACTACTTGTTTTTCATGGAGAATAAATTGTAGTCTTTGGTCAGGATACAGCTTGTATTTCTGGAGTTTTATACTTGAAATACTTGGCATCATTTAGTTAAGGAAATTGACTGATGCAGACAGAGTATACAGGAAGACAAATCATAAGATCTTTTTTTCAGAAGGACAGTTCCTGACACAATTATATCAGAGAGAGGTATGATGAAAGACATGATCAAAAAAACTATGGAAACAATTCCTAGACTGTGAAGAAGTAAGGTATGAAAAAATAGATGTTTGAAATGCCTCATGTTCAACTTAAATCTGTAATGTCTTATGTATTCCTTCTCCAGGTATAGGTAGGCAAAGTTAAGAGGGTTTGAAGCAGTTAGTGATGTATGCCACTGATTCTGTAGAGAAATCTTGGGATTTTCTTTCATTTAAATCTTGTTGATTCACATAAATGGCAAGTTGCTGTCTAATAAATAATTTTTTTTGCTTTTTAAGATTAACGAAAAAGCAACAGAGTATTACAAGTCAGTCACCTGGAGACATAAAAAACACCACAGCAAGGTAAATATTGTTTTGTTGTTGTTGCTCTTGGTCATAAACACTTCGTGAAGTTGTGTATTTTTACTTAATTTCTGTGTTCCTTGCAGGCCTCATTCACAACAGAAACACAGAGCGAGCAATGTTCTTCAAAGTGAGTACTAGCTTATTTTTACACTTTCAAAACAAAGTCTTGTCAAACTGTTCCCCCTGCACCCCTGATAAATGAGTTGGTGGTTTGAAAACTGCTATTCAATTTGATTGGATTAATATAAAAATTATTGGGGGGGGGGGGGGGGAAATCCCCCCCAACGGGGGGTGGGGGAAATACCCTCCCAATTGTTGTGTGTGGCTTCTGCACAAATGCAGATTTGGGGTTTCCCACATTTGGGAAACTATGAAATGGCTTAAGGTTCCCTGGCAACTCATTTTGCAAAATCATTCACTATTTTCTGGTTCACTTGGGGTTTTATTTGCTTGTTTGTTTTACTGGGATTTAAGATATTCTGTGCAGAAGAAAGCTGCCAGAGAGTACTGAAACTCATCTCTTTCTGGCTTTGGACCTAGATAACTTTGGGAGGGAGAAGCTAAAGATGTTGGCTGATAGGGAAAACAAATTGTAGTGTAAAAATGTGCAAAGTTAAGATTTCCATGCATCTTCCTGGCATTACTTTTTTAAAACTTAGAATATGGGTTATGTAATATTTATAAGTAGGTTCTGAAAACCATTAGTACCCTCTTACCACAAAGAGATGATGTTATAACCTCAGTGTGTGACCATATTGGACTTGGAAGGACATATATCTTAAGATGCCTTGGATGCTTACCACAGAACCTGACACGTTCTATGGAAATGATGGAACCTGTATACGAAGTATCATAGCTCTGATTAGTTTTCATTCTATGTAAAATGAGACCAGTATGTACAGTAAAAACATTTTACCAAAATGAAACAACAATGTTTCATTATTATGTACCAAAGTTTACCTAATTGTTGAAAATCTAATTCTTCTGTGAGCTCTGTTGCATAGAAAATACTGTGACTTTTTTGAACAGACTATTTTTTGAGTCCTTGGACTAAGGTGACATTCATGTGTATACAAATAGAAAAGTGCATTCATATATAAACAGACACTGAAGTTTTTGCAGTCTGTCAAAGCATATCAAAACAGTGTACATTCTTGTCTCATGTAAATGGTAGAATACAAAACTGCTGCCTTAATATTGGCTCCTTATTGGTCTGGATGTATATTAACTGCCTTCTAGGTCTGAACAACTTGCAAAATGTGGAAAAACATGGAGATGCTTTGGCTTCTGGCCGAAGAAGACAGGTTTGTACCCATTTTCTATTCTAAATGGAGATTAATTTTATCTGTACTGCATAGAATATTTTTCCCAATTTCATTTGACTCTGAAATGCCTGGATTTAAGATTCTCCACATTACTCGAGCTGTGCTACAGCTCCTGAAACTTTAAGTTCTAATTCCTGTCTTGGAAAAAAAAAGAAAAGGATCTTTTTTGTGCAGTCTCAGATATTGTTGCTAATGCTTATAAGCCTTTAATTTGTGGAAATATGCTGTTACTAAAGCTTAGTCTGTCCCGTCCCACTCAGGGGGTGAGGG